ACCCCCACGGTGCCCCTCACTCCCGACCCGCAGCCCCCCTCCCCCGACACACCCCTCACTCCCGACCTGCAGCCCCCCACCCCGCACGCGGTGCCCCTCACTCCCGACCCACAGCCCCCTCCCCCCCACGACACCCGTCACTCCCGACCCACAGCCCCCCGTCCCCATGGCGCTCCTCACTCCCGACCCACAGCCCCCTGCCCCCCACGGCTCCCCTCACGCCAGACCCGCAGCCCCCCACAGTGCCCCTCACTCCCACAGCCCCCCCGTGGTGCCCCTCACTCCTGACCCACAGCCCCCTCCTGCCGCGGTGCCCCTCACTCCCAACCTGCAGCCCCCCAACTCCCGTCTCCCCGCAGGGTCTCGGTGTGTGACGAGGACAAGCTGACCCATAACGAGTTCATCGGGGAGACCCGGGTGCCGCTCCGGCGCCTCAAGCCTGCCCAGAAGAAGCATTTCAACATCTGCCTGGAACCCCAGATCCCGGTGAGCCCCCGGCCCCTCCCCCCAGGCAGATGTGCCCTGCGGGACGTCCCAGATGTGCGAGATGCCGCCCCATGTCCAGCTGGTCCCTTGTGCTGCCACCTGCCCCCTTCCCAGATGTGCCTTTGCGGCCATTCCCTTTGCCAGATGTTTTCGGGGCCAGTATGATCCCAATTCCAGATGTGCCCCAGAGCACTAGCCAGATGGGCTTTAGCAGCTGCTCCTTTTCCAGCTGTTCCCCGGGGACGTAAAATAACCACAGTCAGCCATTATTTCCAGCTGTCACCCAGAACTGACAGCCCCCCCTTCAGATGTTCCCTGGGACAGTCCAGATATGACCTAGGACACTTTCCAGATGTTTTATAGCATCCCCCCCCCCCACACATACACCCTTTCCAGGTTATAGCCTGTTCCTCAGGATATATATACACCCCTCTGTCCAGAGGTGCCCCAGAACAGTTCCCAGATGTGTCTGCTCCCTGATTCCAGATGTTCCCCCATGGCACTGGGTCCCTGATGCCAGATGTGACCTGCGTACTTTCCATATGTCCCATAGCATCTGCATTCCCTCCCATTGTCCAGGTCTTCCCCAGAATATAAATAATTAACAGCCCCAGTTCCAGATGTTCCCGTGGGTCATGTTCCAGATGTGCTTTACCCTCTAGTCCTTTTCCAGATGTTCCCCACGGACATAACTATAATATACATAATATTCTAGCCCCTTCCCCTAGCCAGATGTTCTCCAGAAATTGCCCAGCTGTGCTACAGCCGTCACTGCCCTTCCAGATGTGCTGGGGGTGGGGTTCTGCAGGGAGCTGTTTTAGTGACTGTCCTTCTCCTGCTGCCTCCCCCCCCACCCCCAGCTGGCCTCCCCATCCGCCATGTCGGCCGCACTGCGAGGAATCTCCTGTTACCTCAGAGAGGTAGGACCCCTCCCCCCACGCCGGTTATCCCTCCCCGGACGCCTGGGTCCCCTTCCCTGTTCGTGTCTCTGGGAGCGCCGTGGGGCCCCTGGGGAGCTGTGCCGGATGCCCCTGGGTCCCATTCCTGTCCCAGTCTCTGGGAGCACCGTGGGACCCCTGGGGAGCCGTCTCGGATACCTGGGTCCCATTCCCGTCCCAGTCTCTGGGAGCGCTGCCACGGGGCCCCTGAGAGCCGTGCCAGACGCCTGGCCCGCCCCCCCCCCCCCCGTCGGCAGCATGAGGGTGCTGACAAGCTCTCCCCCGTCCCCCAGCTGGAACAGGCGGAGCAGTGGGAGCTGGAGGAGCGGGGCCGGATCCTGCTGGCGCTGACGTACAGCTCCGAGCGCCGCGGGCTGCTGGTGGGAATTCTGCGCTGTGCCCACCTGGCTGCCATGGACGTCAATGGTTACTCCGACCCCTACGTCAAAACGTGAGCTGGGGGGAAGGGCATGGGGGGCATAGTGGGATTGGGGGGCAAACATGGGCAGTTGGGAGTTTGGGGGGCTGGGAAAGGGGGCACAGAGGAAAGGGACAGGGCTCTGGGCACAGGGAGGAGGGGTGTGAGTCAGAGGGTGCTGGGTGGGGTGGGGGACAGTGGGGGGAAGGGGATAGGATTCAGGGGTCCAGGGTGCGGGGACTTTGTGGGTACTGGGAAGCGGGGGGGGGCAGGTCGCTCAGCAGGGCTGGGTGAAATTGGGGCGCATGTAGGGGAGGGTGAAAGGGGGTGGGGGTGAAAGTGGGGAGTCGGCGGCGAGCAGAGCTGGGAGGAGTGGGGCCCACCCCCAAATTCGGTGCCCTGACTTTAAACCAGGCTTATGCAGAGCAACAGCGCCCTCTGGTGGAGTTAGGGAAACTGCAGGACTCCTGGGTTCTCACCCGGGCGCGGGGGGGTCTAGTGAGTTGGGGCTGGGAGCCAGGACTCCTGGGTTCTCTCCAGGCTCTGGGAGCGGGGGCAGTGGCTGGGGGGGGGAAGCCAGGACTCCTGGGTTCATGCTGCATCTCTCTGGGCAGGTACCTCAAACCAGACATGGAGAAGAAATCGAAGCACAAAACAAGCGTGAAGAAGAAAACGCTGAACCCCGAATATAATGAGGTGCGGGGGGCAGGGCTCCGGGGGGGCAGGGAAAGGCCCAGAGCACCCCTAAACTTTGCTGTAAGGCCCCCGCTTGTCGGGGGAGGGATTAAGGGATTGGGGGGAGGGGGCGGCGAGGCGGGGGGGACGGGACCCGGCCTGACCATCTCTCCACCCCCCCCAGGAATTCTTCTACGAAATCGACCAATCAGAGCTGGCGCAGAAATCCCTGGAGATCACAGTCTGGGACTACGACATCGGGAAATCCAACGACTTCATCGGTGAGGGGTGTCGTGGGGCAGGGCCCGGCTCAGCTGGGGGGCAGGGCTGGGGCACCGTGGGGCAGAGGACAGGATAAGGGGCCCCAATGGGGAAGGGTAAGGGATGCCGTGAGGCAGGGCCCCAGGCACCATGGGGCAGGTAAGGGGTCCTGGGCATGGGACACCATGGGGCGGGGGGACTGGGCCCCGGGCACCATGGGGCAGGTAAGGGGTCCTGGGCATGGGACACCGTGGGGCGGGGGGACTGGGCCCCGGGCACCATGGGGCAGGTAAGGGGTGCTGGGCATGGGACACCAGTGGGGCGGGGGGACTGGGCCCAGGGCGCCGTGGGGCAGGCTCCGGGGCTGGGCATGAGACACCGTGGGTGGGGGGACTGGGCCCAGGGCGCCATGGGGCAGGTAAGGGGT